ATGTTAAATATTTTAAATGCTTTTCGGTCACATGTATTTCTCCTCTTGAGAATTACCTATTTAGTTCCATGCCCCAATTTTTAACTGAGCTGATGTGTAGTTTTTCGGTTCCTTGTACAGTCTAGATACTAACTCTTAGGCTGCCTCTGCACTGATGACAGTGATTTTTCCTTACAGAAGCTTCTGAGTTTTATGAGGTCCCATTTGACAGTGGTTGACCTTAATGCCTGCACTATTGGGATTGGGATCCTGTTCAGAAAGTCCTTTCCTGCCCGCAATGAGTTCAAGATAGACCCCATTTTCTCACTGATCAGATTTAGATGTTAAGGTCCTTGATCCATTTAGAGTTGTGTTTTATACAGCATGAATGATAAGGATCAGGTTTGGATCTTCACGTAGCCATCCAGTGTGACCAGCACCATTGGTTGAAGATGCTGGTATTTTTTTTTTTTTTACTCCAATGTATGTGGTTAGCCTCTTTGTCAAAAATCAGGGGGCTGTAAATGTGGGACTTACATGTGGGTCCTCGATTCTATTCTATTAATTAATGTGTCTGTTTTTATGGCAGTACCATGCTGTTTTTATTACTATAGATCTGTAGCGTAACTTAAAATCTGGGATGGTGATGCCTCTAGCTGTTCTTTTATTGTTCAGAATTGTTTAGGCTGCCCTGTGCCTTTTGTGTTTCCATATGAAATTTAAAATGTTTTCTCATTTTGTAAGACAAATTGCAGTGGAATTTACTGAGGATTGCGTGAGATCTGTACGTGCTTTCTGTAGGATGGCCATTCACAGTGCTAACACTGCCAATCCATGGACATGGAGATCTTTCACCATCGGCGTCTTCTTCAATTTCTTGCTTCTGTGTCATAACGTACTTTCATTGTACAAGTCTTGGGTTAGATAACTTTTAGGCTGTTGTGAATGGAAGTGTTCCCTTGATTTCTTTCTCTGTATGCTTCTTTCATTTGAAGTATCAAGTTTTAGAAGGCTGTTCTGAAGGGAGCCACTCCGAGTATTCTGCTTAGGAAGAAGCACTGTGCGAACAGCACCACAATGTAGAACTGGTCCTGGGTAACATCCACACTGGCCACAGGGCTCTGCATCTCTGGAGTCCAGCCCTTGGTCAAGCATCCCACAGAAACCAAGATCTTTATATGGCAAATGCAAAGACATTCCAGACTTGAAAGAAATAGTAAATGTTTTCTGCTTTGTCCCACTGAAATGAATGGATATGACATACACTAGATGCTAGTTACCTTTTAAATAGTTGCTAAGACATATATAAATTCTTTCCTGCTTGGGGTTGGCAGATTTAGTAAATAATAATACCAAATTCATAGTTAAATTCAAGTTCAGATAAACAGAAACATTATGTTCCATGAAATATGTCTCATGTTATATGTGAGACATATTGTGCTGCAAAATTGTTTACCTGGAATTTAAATTTAGCTAGACATATTATCTCTTATCTATCGGCTGTAAGCCTTAGTGTGTTTAAAGCTGTGGTAGTCGACATAAATAAATTCAATATAAACTGCAGTATGAAGTCAGTGTTGGCCTCTTTAGTCAGCTTGCCATTTTCAATGAACAAAATTTCTTATTTAAGCAATTTTTGCTGTATTTTTCTCTGCCCATCTTACTGTGCTTCTAGGCAGAGTTTTAGTTTCACATGTTTCCAAAATGACAGGTGTCTGATGCACTTTATATGAGAATGTGTCTAAATTTTCCTAGCAGGTTAATCTAAACTTTCTCATCTGTAACTATTCATGTTTTATTTAATTCAGAATGCTGCTCTGAAGCCTTCTGCTTCTGTGGTCTCAAAACTCAAGAAATGTGTTTGAATTTGCACACATACAGAATTGTATGCTGCTGAACATGAAAGACAGTAAATGACCGACATGGATGTTACGAGACAAATAATTAAACAAAACTTCAATCCCTCAGGAGCATTCCTATCTGCACGTAGCAACTACCAAGTCAGAAACTAAAGCATAAAAAAGACCACTTCCAATGGCCTTGGTTTCATAATGAACATGACCGTAGCTCTTAAAGGCTTGAGAAAAGGAGTTTATATCTCTCCTTGTTTCCCTGGGGCTGAGCAGTTACAAGCCCACAAAGCAATTGTCTCACCAAACCTAGTAAAGTGCACAGGACAGGGCCCCAGGCGACATGCCTGTGTCTCAAGAGACCAGGGGAAGAGGTGAACTGCAAGAACAAAACACAGCAAGCAATTTTTAAATAAACATGTCAGCAGAAATTGCTGCATATAGTCACTATACATATATGTGTGGAGGTGTGTGCATGTGGATGTACAAAAGGCTTCCCAGTTGTTGGAAGTCTGTGATATTCTCTTACCAGAAAACAAAATCAGAAATAAACCTCAGTATAATGACTTGAATGTCTCATAAAAGACTTAAAAGGTTTTATTTGTTTCTTTGTGATTTTTTTCTTTAAATGTTCTTTGGAATAGACAAGGTTTCCTAGGGAGACCATTCCCTCAAGAAATTATAGTTATGCCACATTTATAATATATGGTATTTTGACCCATTCTATTATAGTATTTGTATAGTTCTATCAATGAAGTTGAGCAGAAGATTGGAGGTTAATCATGCAGAATGCATGACCCTCTAACCTAATCAGGGACTAAACTGAGTATATCTGAGATAAATGTTTTCAGTCAGATTGATTTAGATGTTTGTAACGTGATTAATAATTTGCCAAAGAAATGTAAGAAAGTGTTCATTATTTGCTTCTAAAGAATATATTCTGGCCGGGCGGTGGTGGCGCACACCTTTAATCCCAGCACTCAGGAGGCAGAGGCAGGCGGATCTCTGTGAGTTCGAGGCCAGCCTGGTCTACAAAGCAAGTTCCAGGAAAAGGGCAAAGCTACACAGAGAAACCCTGTCTCGAAAAACAACAACAACAAAAAAAGAATATATTCTGACACTTCCTCTTACCTATCTCCAAATTCCACATTGGTAATAATTAGAGAGGGCAGGCTTGGCTACTCAGTGTTTCTCAGTAGTAGCCATATTCAGAAACTTCTGTAGTAAGAACAGTGAAGAAGTTGTGGGCCCTGCTCCTGGCATGGAGTACACCTGAGCAAAAGCTTTGTAAGAAAATGAGCTGTGGTGCTGTGGGAACTTTATCATGGGTCTCCTTGTCCATGCACCTCGTAGGCCACTCTAGTTCTGGCATCATAACTACTGCTGAGGGGTCAGGTGATCATATCCCTTCTACAGGAGAAAGAAGAGTTTTTAAAATAATGCTACATGTGGAAACAATGGCTCCATAACAGAAAATACTTTCAGCACTTCTGCATCAACGTCAGAGAAACTTCCAGTACCTGGCAAACAACTCAGCATCCTGATGCCAGACTGCATGGAAAGAGTGAAGGAAATCCGAATGCTTGGACGCTGTAAAAATGTGTAAACAATATCTTTTCTCAAAAAAAGAAAAACTCTCATTGGCAATTTCTCAAAAGATAAAATAAATGACAAGTGGGTTCCTTTTCCCCCACTTTTAAACTCACGGTTATATTGTTGTCTTCAGCATTTTATAGAACAGTCAAGGAAAGAAATGTGTATCGTCTTTCAGTTTTATCCTCAATTCTTTTTAAAAAATTCTAAGTCCAAACTAAACATTGATTGAAATTTATTTCAAGACATAAAAAAGAGTTAGGCACAGAGTATATGGGACGACATTGATTCTACCAGCATGGTGGGTACATCTGAGCACTGGCTCAACTGTCCCAGAGAAGGCTGTAAACATGCTGGACTGCATGGTCCCCTCTCTTCCTTGTGGAAGGGATACGTGTATTACAGTATATTACAGTGGGCCACTGAGGGACAGTTAGTATTTTTGACTTGCCTGAGCTAGATTGCTTAAGTACCTAGATAATTCTGTTTCCAAACGTCTGTAGATTTTTCCTGTAAATGGGTCATGGTTGTCATCTCTTCCCATTTTGGCAGTCTTGGTTTTAAAGATGATAAACATGGCATGAGGAATAGTCTCAATGTTTCATTTTTATTGGACATTTTATTAGACATCACCTAATATTAATATAAGCAAAAAATTGTTGGAAGGGGAAAAGATATGATATGAGAAGAAAGTAATTTTTTGTGTATGGCAGATTAGGTTTTGGATTGTTAGGGACAGTATACATCAGTTCTAGCATCGTTATGTTGAAGCATCTTTCCCCTTTCTTTTCAAAAACAAACACTGCCTTGCTGTTACGTGGCATGTGCTAGCATTGGGGCACAAGGATAATAGAAACCTTCAGTAGAGAGGTATCAGTGGGGGAACATTAACATGCGAGATTTAATAAGATCTGAGGCTTAAACCGGGCGGTGGTGGCGCACGCCTTTAATCCCAGCACTCGGGAGGCAGAGCCAGGCAGATCTCTGTGAGTTCGAGGCCAGCCTGGGCTACCAAGCGAGTCCCAGGAAAGGTGCAAAGCTACACAGAGAAACCCTGTCTCGAAAAACCAAAAAAAAATAAAAAGATCTGAGGCTTAGTAGAGATGTATTCATTATTTTTGAACATAGGAATAACAAAGATTTGCTATTTTTAAAGTACATTAAATGGGGTTATAAACTCAGAATTATTTCTTATATTAAGCCAGGGAATTTACCTCTAAAAGTCTAACTTTTTACCTCTCTGCTCTTGCAATCTCTCCTGCTCGTGCTGGGTGACAAGAACCCCTAAGGATAGCTCAGGGTTGGGCTTCCTAAAGCAGATGTCTGCCATTATCATTCACTCTTTTGCATCTCAGAATTCTCAGCTGCCAAATGAAGAAAAGTGTTCTTAGATCCGTGGGTATAATTCCCAAGAGATTCCCTGAGCTCCTTGAAGAGGGCTGCACAGTGCTTGCTCTAGAGCTGTTTTGAGTGCTCTCAACTCATCTGAAGTGAAATACAATCATCGTAGCATCGTGCAATCTGTGCGTGGCAGTGGGATATGTTTTCCAAGTTCAAATGTTGTTTTCTTTATTCCAGGTTTCTTTTCTCCATGGAAAACTCCAAAGCCTGTAAGTTGGAATTCCTATACTTTTTTCTTTATTTTCCATTTACTGTGTAAGCCCATTAAGTAAACAGGGAATTGAGTGGCCTTCAATGCTCTCCCACCCCTGAGATTCCAGGGTATCAGAAGAACAGAGCCTCTGTGTCTTTCTGTCCTTTCTTGCCCTCAAATACAAGGGTAAGTTATCTTATTTCCTATAATTATGTTCATTTTTGAATGTTTTGTGTACTAAAATTACTTTCTTACAGTTGATTTTTTAAAACATTTCATTAGCTATGATAGTAAGGATATATATAAACAAAATATTAAATATGACCTGTTTTCACTCTCATATGCTAACAACTTGGCAACAGATTTTAATGCACATTCTACATAATGAATGCAGGTTATATATGAACAGTGAGGTATGCTGAACCACAAGAGTGCTGACAATATACTGTACAATAAACCTTACAGTTAGTGCTGAGAACCATTTCTACCCAGTGGAAAATGCACGTTTGTGGTCACATTCCAGCCTTTTGTCTTCTATTGTTCCCCAATACAAGAAAGACTCATCTTACAGTTCTGTAATTATCCCCATTTAAAAAATATATTTACAAAATGGATATCAACATTATTTAGGATGATGTGACAAAACACTTTAAAACCTTTTGTTTTTCCTATCACAAATACTATATGGTCATGTAGTCACATTAAGTTTTCAATACTAATACATACTATAGGGCTAGAGGGCTTATCCTGCAAACTAAATATGGCCTGCAAGGAATGTATTTCCATTTGTATTTACTTTCTAATGACTATAGAAATAAGTATATGTGTTCATATGCATACATATAGCCTAGCTCTATTTAGATAATTATACATAATAAATATCTTGAGTATATACTATATGTATCATTCTATGCAATATACATTGTAAACATGACAATCACTCAGAGTTGTGCTTCTAATATTCTTCAGGTACTAGTGAGCTTTGCCATCATCTAACCTCTCTGGTCCTGCTTCTCTTTTAAAGATGCTAAAACGTTATGCCAACATAGGGAATTAGTGACGTTCACTCTGATTTTACAAAGCCAGGCTAGCGCAGTGGGCTTAGCAGTTAGGTAGTCTTCACTTGCCCTAAGGCCGAAACTATAACTTGTGTCAGTCACCCTTCTGGCACTGTGACAAAATGCCTGAGATGATAACTCGCTCTAAAGGCTTATTTGGACTCTGTTTGGAAGGTTCCTGTCTATGTTTGACTGGTCCTGATACTCAAAGCACGCACAGCAAGCAGCACCTCGTGGCAAGAAAGCTCCTTTCATCCCAAGCCAGGGAGCAAAGGAGAAGAGGAAAAGGCTAGAGGCTAGCAGTCCTCTTAACACAGTCCAGCGTGCTCCATCTCCCCAGGTCCCACTACTTCCAGGCATGCTGTTCCAGGGCCAAGTCTTTAATACATGGACATTCAACACTCAAGCTATGCCAGTATTAACGGCCTAAGTCTCCCAAACTGGGTTGGTTTTCTGGATCTCCTTTTACTGTGACTTAGAATATGCTACCCTAATAGAAAATCTAAATCCTACAGCTGGACAGGTACAGTGGCAAAAGAGGACACTCACAAAGTAGATCCTCATTTAGACTCTGTTCATCTGCTCTACAGAATACATCAAAGAGGGAACGCAGGCTTCTTTGAACTTAGTAAATCACTTAGTGATGTATGCAATTTTGAAAGATGTATTTTTAAATGCATGAAATGAAGTATGGCTTATCTTGCCCAGCTTCTAAATAGTTTCATCCTTTCATCCCCAACTCAAATCTGGGACCTGTGGTTATACACATCTTTATCTGATTTAACCAGGAACCTTGCAGCTCATCATGGTGCAACAATTATGCAATCTAGTGATTTCCTTATATGTACCACAGTCACACAAATTATGTCATTTGGCATAATTACAGCATTTGCCATCATTATAGTAATTACACCCATAGTCAATAATTCCCAAAAAGGCTTTATAGAACTCAGCGTATAATTAATCTTGAACCTATGCATCTTTATGAGAACTAAGGCCTGGACTTCCAGATTGCAGGCTGAGTAAATATATAAAGGCCTTTGATTTAATGCTTTCTATATATCCATGTGAAATTCCTCGGACCAAGAGCCGTAAGAGTATTGTGTAAGGCCCAATAAGCATAGTGCCTGGGTTCAAGTGCTGCTGTTTTTCCTTATATGACCTTATAGTAGCTGCTTAAGACCGCTGCATCTCAAAGACTCTATTTGTAAAATGGAAGTAATGGTAATGCCCTCTTATCTGTCACTGTGGGGATTCTAAGTTAATCCATGTAAAGTGCTTACAATGGTGCTTCAACATGGTGAGCTAAAAAATATAAATGTCTATCATTGTAGAAAGCAGATGCCAGTACACAAATCCTTTGCAAGTAAATCACTCCCCAAAATGAATACAATGTGCTAAGTGGTTCATTGAAACAAATACAGTGTACCCACAGTGTCTTCTAAGTAAGACTGATGACACACTTAAAGTGAGGAGACATCCTAAATGAGACCTAACCTCCTGCTTGGTCTCCACCAAGTGGCCCTCAGGGACTTTACCTAATAAGTAAGATGCTACTCATAATAGTTCTCATTGTCTTTGCATGGCAGGATCTAAGTGTATGTTTCAAGTACAGGATCAAACCTAATGCCTTCATTGCCCAGCCCCACCTAAAATAGTACAGGAGTAGGTTAGACTTGTTAGATTGTGTTTATTCTGCTCTCAAAAGGAAGAAAACAAATTCTAGAAATAGTATTTTGTTGGGGGAAAGCCTGTCTCATTCCTGTGTACACCCAAGAATCAGAAACTGGGGGTGAAGCACATGAGCTTCTCTATTTTAAGGTTTGATGTCTGGGTGTAGACTATGTTTTCTCTATCCACTCATAGTTTGGAGCCTGAGATTTCATAGTGGCAGGTATTCATTCACCATTCATTAGTTCAAAGATGGCAAAGTTTCTCCCACACATAAAAAAAAAACCTTCATTTCTATTGTTACTCTAGGGAGATGTTTACAAATATCAACCTAGTTATCGTCACTGTTGAGACAAAACAAGAGAATCCCAATAAGCCTAGTTGAGAGATTAAATTGTCTGGCGAGTATGATGAGTTATGAATGACCCAAGACCAGGAAGACAGTAGGTACAACAAGCAAGACCCATGGCCCTGGGCATGAATTCAAGGTGTTCGTGGAATATGGAAAGCAAGATCTCTCAGAAAATAAGGTGGAGTCCACAGAACCAACCTTCCAGCCTCAGTACAGGGGGTTCTAAGCCAGGGTAAAAGTTGACTCAACTACACAGAGAAACCCTGTCTCGAAAAAACCAAAAAAAAAAAAAAAAAGTTGACTCAATAGCATCCTGGGTTGGAGATCCCAGGTAAGCCTATTTTGAGGGGGCAGGCTAGGAGCAGCAAAGGGGAGAAGACTAGAGGTCTCCTTTCAGGGACAGGGACTTTCTACTCCAGGGTTTTTAAAGCACCCCTGCCAAGGTGACTCAAGGTCTGACAAATGTCCTTACAAGAAGTTATGGACGCTTTACGACATCAGCTGGGCTCTTGACTAATTTCCCAATCACTGTGCTATAGAAATTGTAAAATTAGTCAATTTGCCATAGAAACTTGCCCCTAAAAATGCCCAAAAGCATTATTTGTTCTGTAGCTTTATGACTTTTTTTTAGAAATACCAATATTTCACCTGAGGCATAGTTCCTTCAGTGGTTATACATGAGTGATACGCACACCAGCAAAACACATGTGGATATCAGAAAACCCACAATGGAAAATGAAAAAAAATGTGCATTTCCTGAAGCCCCATGTTGGCAAGTAGGATGTTAACCTCTCAGACAACATTTCTAACATATTTACTTTTTAGCGTTTCACATCTTAAGTGTGGAATCAGAACTGAGAAAGTCACACTAGAATGTGTCCATGTGGCACCTAAAGCAATTAGACTAACCATTTCAAAAATATATGCCTTTAGACAGACTTGTGACCTAGTACATGGTAGCAAAGTCACCATTATGGAGGAAAAGAAAAATTCCCAGCAGAGCTGGGAATAGGAATGTCTCTATTAAGCTTGAAATGTATATTAAAGGCCTTTTACTAAGTAGAAGTAAAAGCCCCAATGAGATAAAATTAACTCCAGTTTTTATGATACTTACAGAATTTGTCCCCAAAGTGTTATGGTTTAAACAAATAGCCTTGTTAGAATTGTAAGTTGGTTCTGACCCAAATCTGCTGTTGGACCTCAGGCAAGCCAATTACCCTCTCTGTGCTTCTAGAGATGATATTTAATGTGAAGCAGCTGAACTCATCCTTGCTCACTACACAAACCATCTAAATGAATCTTGGGCCGGATCCCATACAGAAGCAATTTAAATCCAGTCGTACTGAATTAAGAGTCAGTAACCTACTTATTTCCAAGTTTGCTATGTTTAGTTTCAACATGAACCCCTGACACAGTTCAAAGTGAGGGGGATGGGCCAGAGAGATCACTGCTGTTACCCATGGCATGTCTAGGAAGTACAGGGATATGTGGTCACTCACATCCCTTGCAGCCTTAAGAGTATTGATGACTGATAGACAAAAATGGCAGTTGGAATCTGACTAAAATATATCCAGTGTAAGAACAAGAGCAAGGAAATAAAGTATAAAATAGAAAGATTTATATCTATATCAGTTTTTAGGTGTCCATATTTTAATTGTGAGTTCATTAATTCACTAAGAATGCTTTCTGAGTACCTATTACACATGGGACATGTGCTTACAGCTGGGAGTGGTAAGTGGTACTGGGAGCAGGGAGCAAAGCTGAGTAGGCTCACCCAAATGGTTGGGTCAGCTCTTCCAGGAAAGGAAATGAGGGAGGGGATGTAAGTAGAAGGAAAAATAGAGGGGGGCTGCAAAGCTTCAGAGGCTGGAAAGAGTGTCGGGGAGCCAGGGAAGGAAGTGAGTAAAGAAAGCAGAACCAACATCCCAATGGGAATTTGACCTTGATCCTGAGAACCATACTTTGACCCTGCCCAGAACTTCAGGCAAGAGGCTGTTATCATCACACTTTATACAAACTGCATGCTTATTAAAAGTATAGAGACGGGAGTTGAATTAGAAAGAAGGGCTACTAGTTGGATAAGGATGAAGCTAGCAATGACAACAGACCTCTTGCTAAATGGCTGGTATTAGTTCTAGCTGCATGTATGTCCCCATGTTATGGTGGAGACCAGCGATCATGCATGGCCAATTAGGAAGCACTTAACGATAGTGCTAGCAGAGATATTGTAGGGGAGACCTTACCACACCCACAGTGAATGACATTTCCTAGAAAAATGTAGTCCATTGATTCCAGATGGTCCTATTTGTACAAACTGTAAAGGACGTGATGGAATGTTCAGCTGTAAGAGGGGATTAGGATAGGCACAGGTGTTAAATGAGCATGTATAGTCTGCTTCGTTTTCTGTTTTAGAGACGTGGTATAATAAATTGGGACCATCTTTAGAAAAGAATAAATATTACCCTTTTCCTGAACATACACACATAAATGATCCTGGGATGCATGCTATATTTTATAAGGAAAAACATCAGAGAAATGAAGAGTTTGCCAAAGATTCCTAGCTACTATATGGCAAGGTTCTATAGCTTGCTTTCAAACTCCAGGAACTACTTGACTTATAGCAGTCTATGCTACATTCTTCCACAGAAATAGAGATTATTTTCCTCTGAGGCATATGTACCAAACTCTTCTTGGGGACAAAAGTTCACAAGCAAGAAAGTCTTTTGTAAAGCTAACAAGGGAACTAGCCAGGCTGAATCCATCATCAGTCATGTTCTCTGTCCTCCTTTTCTTTTAGATGATGGACCGGTGGGAGAACCAAGGCAGTCCTCAAACAAGTTTATCTGCTCCGGCCGTACCACAGAACCTACCCTTCCCACCTGCCCTTCACAGGAGCTCCTTTCCTGACTCAGCAGAGGCCTTTGACCCACGGAAGCCTGACCCATATGAGCTCTATGAGAAATCGAGAGCCATTTATGAAAGTAGGCGTAAGTGAAAGCCATGTAAAGCAAGGGTACCTTGATAGTGGTCAACACCAGCCTAGGGTATACGTGGGGGCTGAATAATCTGGCATGATTTTACCTTCTGAGGCTCAAAGGTATCTCCAAAGTAAGACAGATAGTCTACAATTTTCCTTAAAGCCTGGCTTTCTTCTGTATAATTGCATTTTAATTGGCAATGCTTTTATTTTTATGGAGTACAATGTAATATTTCCATACATGTATACATTATAGAATGATCAAATCAGGATAATTAGCATATCAAAGAAAGGGTAACTATAATAAGAACATTTATATATATATATATATACATACATATATATTATGATTAGCTATAGTCACATTGACGTGTGACAGAATTTAGTGCCCTCCTATCTAGCCAGTCTTTATACACATTGTCTTAAAGAACCTGTTGTTTCTAAAAGTATCTTTGGGGTTTAAATTGCATTTCCTACTTTTGCCCCTAAGCTCCCGAAGAAATGAGGATGGAGTAGGGTTGTTAGTTTGGTTCAAGTCACCAAATAAAATAAAGCAATGTTTGGAACCTCTAATCCATTCAACCTGACCTTGAATCTAAAGCTTATATCTTGTTGTCTTAGAGCTTTGAAGGCAGTCATTGGAGAAGTCTAAGCCTTGAGTAAAATAAAATTTCAGGCAAGTTTTTCCCACTCAGAGTCATGAGTCAATTTGTCCCCAAAGCAGGGAGAAGCAGGTGCCAATCATTCTGCCTGAATCTTCTGCTGCCATTTAATGTACCCAGGTGCATTTGAGCCTTGCCTTAAAGCCTGTCTATGTGCCTGCCTCCCTTTTGGAAGACCTTTGGAATTATTTGAGCTTTTAATATCAAATATACATTTGTTATGTCCCTTCCTGATATTGTACAGGTCACCTCCTCCATGGAAACTCAATGACAGGGGTGTATAAAACAGACACTGAATACTAAGAATCTGAGAAATGATAGAGAAATCAAGTTTAGTTTAAAAGGCTTTGGTCCCTGGCGCTTCCCTTCACAGTCTGCTGGTTTCCTTTGCTTCAACTCCCCCCTGCTCATATATCGTTTCCAACTTCATCATCTGAAGCACGAATAGGAAGTTTTAAATTGTGTGTGGCCTCAGAGGATCTTGAATCTGCTTAGTCCTTTGATGAGTTCAGGGGCTGAGAATTATCACCCAGCTGGTAAAGGGAAAAGCAAACATAATACCTTTTTTCCCCATCCTCTGTAACATTTTGTAGAAGTAATTTTGGTGGATAAAATAGTTAGGACAGCAGGCCACTGAGAAATCATTTTCATCAAAATGAGCCTGCACATGCACCCACTTTTCAATAATCAGTTACATCCAAGTTACTGCGTTTTGCTCTTCCCTCTCTGGGTAAATGACTGAAATAACTTTAGAGAGTTGGTTGTATACTTGGAGCATCTACTACAGTAAAATCAGAGCAAAGTGGGCAGTTATAGCTGAATAATGAAGGGCGTAAATTTGGGGTACTGGTGTTCATTAAAGTGAAGAAAAAACCCCACAAAGATATCAGCCCAGCCCTTACTACATGTGTGCTTCAATAGCTGAGTGTTTATTGAATACCCACTTTGCTCTCACACTGTGGCAAGACATCAGAAAAGAACAGTATACCCTGCTCTCACAGATTTCATGGGGAAAGGAACAAACGTGTAACTAGGGGATGGATACACAGTAGATGCTCCACCTGGATGACAAAACACATCGCAGGACTAAAGTATCATCCCCGTGTCCAGGGCTTCCTTTAGGTTTGGGATGCATTCAGGGACTGTGATGAGTTGCCTCCTCCTGGTTTTGTTAGTCACTGGCTTCTAGTGCAACTTCCAGAACGATGCAAAACGGGCTGATTTGGGACAGAGGACATCTTTGAATTGGTTCTACAACTTCTGTCTGAAACAGCCATGCCCTCAGCTTCTTAACAGGACTTGTACATGACCCCCATCTGACCCTGAAGGAATAAGGATTTCTGTGTCTAGCACCAGCAGCACGATTTCTGTTCATTGCCTTTTTCCTCCTCACCTGTAGCATACCTTGCCTGTAGCAAAGCAGCCACCTTAGCCTCCTCTGCTGCTGCAGCAGCAACAACAAATTTCACTATTCCTTCCCCAAGAGCCTGTCCCCACACCACTGCAGAGTGCATGTTCCTGCGTGTGTCTGTCAGCACTCTAATGTTTCAAGGTCACATCTCCCAGGAAGCTGAAAGAGGGCAAGCTCATTTCCTTTCCTATGCTTCCCTTCTACTGTGTTATTTCATAAACTCACTGGGGGTGGGAATGAAATGCAGAAAGCATGTGAAGGTAAGAAAAACTCTGTCCCTGAAGGGGGAGGAGCCAGATGAGCATGGGCTTGCTATGCGGTTCCCCCACTGTGGGCTTCTCACTCTGCAGCTCCTTGTTCCTCCCCGCCAGACTCTTAAAACAAGCAAACAGCCTTTGGCCCTCTCTACACTGCTCATTTCCAAGTATAGAAACATTTTATTCTCTCAGTTACATTTTTAGAGTAATACCTTTTTTTTTAATTTAGACAGTCTCACAAATTTGCCCAAGCTAGCTTTAAACTGGCTACTTCCCACCTCAGCCCCCCAAATAGCTACAGCAATACTATGTAAAACTTAACTAATGATTGGAAACCCCAGCCTAACCCTTGCCTTCAAACAGGACTTTGAACACAATGACCAGGAAGTATATGAAACCCAAAAGAAAGGCCATATTCACAGTTTTGACCATAAACAGTTCTGTGCACATCCCTTTGAATCGTGTGCACCAGCTTTAGATTTAGAGCTTGCTGATACTTCTGCCTGTAAGATTCTCCCGGGGAGAAGACAGCATTGGTGAGAGTAGGAAAGTATGAACAGAATCTACTCTGATCTGGGAGTCCTTTGAGGTTTCCCTGGCTTGCTACGGATCCTGGTACCCTCCCCACTTCCAACCCTGCCAGAAGCCACCAAGATTTTTGTATTCACACTCGAACTGGGTTGCAGTTAAAATAGAAGGATGCTCCTCCACTTACACACAGGCTCTTCGGAGCTATAGAATGTTTGTTCTGTCAAAATTGTAAGGAACTATTTGGATTCAAGTCACCATTCCCCCTGTAGATGATGGAAATTTATCAAATGATGTAAAAGCTGCCATGCCTCATTTGGCTCCTAATTAGATTAAGCTGACAGTTTAATGTACGTGCACAGGACATCTTAATAAAGATGTGTTCCCTGGGAAAATGTGATTTTTAAACAAAGAAAGACAACTGTAGGCTAGTAGAGCCACATGAAACAGATCACGGCAGGTGCACACTCCTGAGGGGAAGCCAGGACCACCTCCGATCTTCATGAGATGGTCTGAGATGGGGTGACAGCAGAAAGAGGGCAGAGAAGAGAAGACCCCCCCCCCAGCAGGTAGGTGGTGCCTTCGATTCCAGAGCACTAGGTATGGTGCCCAGAGGTGGCTCCCAAGGCGCCACATTGATCAACAGAAATATATGGAACATTCTCTGTGTGTCTAAAACTCTGGTAGACACTCAAGAGAGAAAATTTACAAGAAATAATCTCTACTTATTAGAAAATTATGGTGAAAACATAGGGAAACAATTTCTGGACGAGACTTTCTTACAGAACACAGTACTAACGCCAGGGTGTCCTTGCTCCAACCCAGTATTTCTGACATGATGGGAATGGTTTTTGATGAGAACATCTGGGGTAACTACACCTGAGTTTCCTGGGATGTCCTTGTCTTGATATGCCTGCTATGATTATTAATAGTCTCCCTATAGACCATCCTCTTTTTTTGTGATGAATTACATAATTTCCTTTTATAAAGTCTATTCAAGAAATAGCCATTGTGGCTAAGAAAAGTGTATATCTAATGTTCATACTGTGATAAAAAGTTTTAACATCCACTAAAAAATGTTTTGTTTTCTTTTAAATTAGTCAAGAAATTTATTTGACTAATCAAGTTTTTGCCTCTGCAAATTTTATCTCTAACTAGCCTTAGGATGACTTTTGCAGCAGCTTATTTTTATAGTCAAATTTCCAGTGAATTTCCCCCAACAACTTGAAATTGTGGATATGTTCAGATCTAGCATATGGCAAACTTAAATAGAGGAAAACCAGGTTAGGAAGTTCCTCACAGTTCACTATCAGGCCATGCCATTCACATTCTTATCACACAGGCTAACTCCAGTTTAACATTACAACAATCACCCCACTGAAATGGACATAATCTTGCCTGTCTCTGGTCCCTAGAAGAGAATGTATCTGATAACAACAAACAGATGCCCATCACATCTCTTTCTGTGAGTAGGCAAGGCACTATGGAGTGCTTCCTGAAGAGAGTGAGTGTAGCTCGCTTTGGGATCTTACAACAGAAGCTCAGGCCATTCTATGATGATTAAAGAAGGAAAATCTTGGCTTATTACTTCACTTTTTCTAAATCCAGACTTATTCTAAAGGTTAACTTTTCCAACATCAAGTCCTAGGGGCATTTTCTGAGTATGCTCCACAATGCAGCTGAAGGAGAAGAGTGGAAAGAAAATCCCTCGCTCGCTGATGCTCTCCCCTCACGGCCCGCCCCTTGCTTTGAAGCTGAAGTGAATTACCACTGAAGTTACCCAAACCTTTTCTCTCTTCACATTGAAACTTGGTTATTATAAATAACAATTTAAGAGGTTCAACATGTTCACACTTCTTCACAGTAATATATCACTCGAGTATGATCATAAACATGTCAAGGGCCTGTCTGATGTACCTGAAGGGATAGCCTTTGTAAAACAGAAAATCCTCTTGAATTTTTCCACTAACAGCTCACACCATTCACTTTTCTTTCCAGAGATTAGAAACCATAATAAGCCACGAGGGTCTCAGCAAAGGTAACAATCAAAAGTCCTGATGGTCAAAGAGCCTAATGGAGATGCAAGGTGTTTTTCAGCACTACACCCTACACCTGGAATAAAATTATAATATATAACAGATTGAAGGTAGACAAGTGTGGTTTTCACACTACGGCTTCTATCCTTCCTTCTTGTTGTTCATTATTGAACTCTTCCATTATTCGGGGCAATGCACACACGGTTCATATTGCTCACAGGCCGAATGCTGTTCTTCTGGCTGCTCCTTCCTTGTTATTAGGGAATGAAGGTTGGCGTTTGCAGTGCCTCCCATCCTAATCACAGAGCTATTTGGAAAGATGGAGTAGAAAATGACGTCATCCACCACAGGGCCCCCCCCCCCCCACACACACACACACACACACACACCACGAGAGTCAGGAAAGTGACATTGGGATGCCCACATCACACAAGGAAGTAGCTTCCTCTGTGCTCAGAATGAGAGCCCAGAATGCCATGTGAGTCCTTCACTTGAGCTGGCCTGACTCCAGAACCCATGAGATTCAGTGCTCGATATTGCATACTGGAAAGGACAAATGTATGGATGCCACAAATGCAGGCAGGTATGTAAGTAATCAGGAAAATGCATCTTGCCATACAAGGAGCATGCTTGCAACTAAACATGGGGCTTAGCACTGGGCTGAACTGCCTGGACAGTGATGATGGTGTCCTGCAGCCTTAATTAATTTACCTCTCGCCTGTGTCCTTTCCAACACAATCTTATTGTAGTGAAATATTAAAATGAAGTATAAAAAGTGTTCAGACACTCTTACCTGTGACTTAACATAAGAATCATAAAAGAGAGAAAATGTATCACATTATCATTTTAATACCCCCAACTGTACTGTAAAGGTAAATTTTCTCTACTTTTTATCACTCTATCCTTGATGCAATTTATGTTTATGATTTGACCTGTGTAGCAGGGAGTGGAGAGGGACTCTCTTTTAGCTGGCACTTCTAATATATCACTTTGCCTTTGTAACATTTTGAAAATGAGGTCGATAAATCCATTAAAACTGTATTTGCCAGTTTTTATAGATAGACCTTGATTAGTTCAGAAATGTAATTTCAAAAGTAGTATCTTTGGGTGGCTGTTTAGAAAACTATGATAACATCTATATTTCTATCATCTTCCTTTTAAAATTGGAAATCACCATGGATATGACTAATAATATAGACAGTACAATAAACATCAGTTTCCCTGTGTTTGGGGAATTAGATATAATCCCATAGCTTATGAATTATTTTATTCTGTAATTTGAAAGTTGGTGCCTCTGAAATGAGATACAGGGTAGAAGGGCAGAAGACTGTGAAAACTGGACTCCAAACTCAGTCCTTACCTGAGCGTTCTTTGGGGTCAGTGTCAGCAGTGCAGATTCCCAGTGTAACCCAAAGTATTTTTATGAATAAATATGAGACCATCAGGGCTTCAGTAAACAGAATTTAATTGCTACATAGCAAGTGAGTTCTAGTGAGATTATGATAGCATAAAGTGTCAGTGTTACACTAATGGGAGTGTTTAGAAGATGGACGTCTTCCATCCCTGACATGAGTCCACCTTTCTGATTACAGAATATTTCTCAATCAGAATCCTAGACAGCCACAGTAAGCATAAAGGCTCTTCAAAAGGAATGTTCCTGCTAGAAAACTAATTTGCCTTTACACCACTTCCCTGGCAGGCATGATATCTATGCCCTGTTGTGGAATATTCCTTTACACAGCATGAAGATGTGTCACTGTGATTGGTTTAATAAAGAGCCAAATGGCCATTAGCTAGACAGGAGGAGGTTAGACAGGACTTCTGGGGACAGAGAGTTCTGGGAAGAAGAAAGGCAGAGTCACAAGCGAGACCCAGTGAGAGCAGGATGGACGTACAGAGTAAAAATAACCAAGCAATATAAAATAATGTAGATTTAAAAATTGGGTTAATTTAAGTTATAAGAACTAGTTAGGAACAAGTCTAAGCTAAGGTTGAACTTTCATAATTAGTAAGTCTCCATGTTGTTTTTTTGTGAGTTGGCATCCCAAAGAAAAATCCACCTACAGTGCCCCAACAAACAAAACTAGCTCGCTGTGAATAATGAGCTGAGCTCCAGACTGGAGCAATATCGTGTCATTGAAATGTTTTTAACTTGTTGATAAAACACCAGTATTTACAGTGCTCCATATAATACTACTCTATCATAAAATGATGGTAACCTAACTTTGAGATGTTCTGTGATACATTCTCCTCAGTCTACTAGAATATTCTTAAGTTGACCGCTCTAAAATAAATAATCACTTATGTGATTATATATCATAGCTACATAATCATTCATGTGACTGTAATAATAATGTTCTAACATATATTCCAACTTAAAACTGATTTACATATTAAACATAAGGAGGAGGATGCTCGCAAGAAAAACTTACAATTATTTTATCAACAGTACACATTATACCCTAGAAGGATTTGGTAACTTTTAATGTTTGATAGTATGATTAGCTACATTAAGTTTGTCATAAAGTCGGAAGTATCCTGCCACTCTCAGATGGGTCTCAACCACTCATCCTAGCATAACCCTATTTTCTTGGGTGTTTATTGGCAAGGGGTTTATATACATATGACTCTGTGTGTTTCAGATTAAACCCCATCATATGGTTTAGGAATGTGTCTATGGACAGAACTATAAAGGAAGAGGAAGAATATTTGAAGATCATAAGAAAGAAATTATACCCTTGTGAACAGGGAGTGATAGCACACACGTCTAATCTCAGCAGCTGAGAGGCTGAAGCAGGAAAATCCCGAGTTTGAGGTCAACCTGAGCTGTATAGCCTTCCTCGTCTGGAAGAAGGAAGGAAAGAAAGAAGTCAAAAAGGAGGTCAAAGAGAAGAAAGGAAGGACATTGTAACAACAAAGGAGTGTAGGGTAGTGGTATTTCCGCAGTAATAGTAAAGAAAGAGCACATTATTGGATAGTGAGTTTTAATTACAAGGAAGCTAAAAACAAAGATATTTTTGTGCAATTTTTCCTAAAAATGATCTTGAAGAGTTATCTAGGATAAAGTACAGGACAAGTAATAAGAGTCTCTTAGCATCCTGGGCTTATCTTACATCTGTACAATGAAGTATTTTCAGATCTTCACAGCCCATCTCTTCTTCTCTCTGTTGTGCAGTAGCTTAGAAAAGCAGAATAAAACTCAAGGGACAGTTTAGTAAGGTCATTTTCTATATTCTCAATAGTTACAGATACCATCTCTATTTCTTAAGCACATCTGTGAGGAGGTAAGGTGGACCTGAATGTGTCCATATTTACCTCTCATAAATCTTAATCCATGAGCACAGTTGACCTCCAAATACTTCCAATACAGAGAACCAAGGTTTCCAGGGTCCTAAAATTCGACATATGAACATTCCTACATTTAAAAGATATTTCATGTTGATATTAATGAATTTTTGTTGTTAGATATATTGTAGGCCACATCATAATTCTCATAAAGGCTCTAGAATGAACCAGTTTAATTCAACTACTTGGACAGTACTTCTGCTATCCAAATTATTAGAAATCTCAAAATATTTGGACTGGTGTTAAATCAGTATGATCATAGATTGAAATTTTCACTTTTCATCTTAGTGTTTTATGAAAAAGCATCATAATACGATTTTGAAGGACTCTTGTTGCATCGATTTCAGGTTCTGAATTAACGTATTTCCAAATAAATATCCTTATATGGTGAAAATAAAAACATAATAAGATTTGGAAATGGTATTTTCCATGCTGATAAAAGAATCCATATTTTTCTATTTTCACATATATCAGAATACATAAATATACATACTTACATATAGGCAGGTAAATCTATCCACCAACTTTAAAGGATTTTAGGAATAAGTGAAAAAATAAATACACATGAGCATAGGATTTGGGTTGGGAGAGTTATAGTATCAACAAAAAGAAAGTAAAGATGAATTTTAAAATGCCATCAATGAATTTCAACTTTAATTCCCCATTTTCCCATCCAGAACAAGTGCCACCCAGGACCAGTTTTCGAATGGATTCCTCTGGCAAGTATTCAAAATTCACAGTTCTGTGAATGCACGTCTTTCACTTTGTGTAACCAGTCATTTCCTTGAGTGGTATCAACTTTTCACTATGTAATATTCACTGTGATAAATAAATCACCTACATCACATGTGTTCAAGACAGAGGGCAAGCCTCATCATGGTGGGTGTGGATGCTTGCAAACAAAGACAAATATTAATGAATTCCTTCATAAAAAAGTTACTAAAAGACTACACTTAGAACCAAATGTCAAAGGAAGCCATCAGACTAGATAGATCTGTGCTATCCTGTACAAATTTAGATGTATTATCAAATGTGTGTGAAATTCACACTGGATCTCAAAGACTTAGTACAAAATTAAGCCTTGTTTTATGTTAAGATGGTGTCTTAGTTAGGGTTTCTATTGCTACAATAAAACACCATGATCAAAAAACAAGTTGGGGGCGGGGGAGGGTTTATTCAGCTTATACTTTCCTATCACTGTTCATCACTGAATAAAATCAGGACGGAAACTCAAACAGGGAAGAATCCTGGAGGCAGGAGCTGATGCAGAGGTCATGGAGGGGTGCTGCTTACTGACTTGCTTTTCATGGCTTGCTCAGCCCACCTTCTTATAGAACCCAGGATCAGCCCAGGGATGGCACCACCCACCATGGGCTGGGCCCTCCCCCACTGATCACTAACTGAGAAAATGCCTTACAGTTGGATCTCAAGGAGACATTTCCTCAACAGAGGCTCCATCCTCTCTGATGACTCTTGCTGTGTCAGGTTGACATAAAACCAGCCAGAACAGATGGTATTTTGATAATTAAGTTAAAATATGTTATTAAAATTGACATTATTTGTTAAACTTTTTTTTTAAAGTGGCTGCTTGGCAATATTAAATAACTTCTATAATTTACATTTTATTTAAATTGGATCCTGCTAAACCAGAAAAATTGAAATAAGAAGGTAGAACATCTCAAGAGAGGAAAGCTAAATATTTCTAAAAAAAATCTTATTAAAGAATTTGCTAACACAGATTGAAATCATTTTGAGCTGAATTAAATGCCTATATCAATTTGGTTTTTTAAATAATTCCAATTACAAAATGTTATATTTTGATACTATTTTGAGTTAGGGTACAATATCATAGCTTCTAGTTTTCGAACTTAAGAAATATCTTAATAATTTTACTTGGATTTTTACTTATCCCTTGCAAACAAACATGATTATTTGTGATGTAAACTGAAATATATAGTATTGTCGTGGACATGAATGAGGAAAAAGAAGAGTTAGACTTTTTTCCTCCAGTTGCTAGTGAAATGCTCTTAACAGCTGGTTAGCCTGCTAGATTGGAACCCCGGACACTCAAGGCATTGCAGGAAGGAGCGTTTCTTAGCAATAGCTCCCTTCCAGGTCTGTGGGCTTCAGCACACATCCCTAGTGTGTTTCTGTGATGACAACTAGTTATCCATTCCAATGTGCTCTAACATCCCTTGGGAAATCATTCATTCCCTAAGTTTCTATGTCATTCTTTGAGTGTGTACAAAACATGGAAGATACCACTTAGCATCCAAATAATGTCTAAAGTAATTGTTTAGCTCGGTCTGCAATCTTCAGAGTGTAGCTGTTCTATCATCTAACTCAAAGGCTAGCTGTAAAATCCTTGCAATGTTTAAGAATATCTTATGCCTGGGGAGAAAATTAGGCCTAGTAATTATGGGTAAAAAATGAAATCAGGATTTAATGTGGAAATCTAAAGCTCACTTAAAGTAGCTTCAGAAAATATAATTCTTGAAAAATCTCAATGTCTAAATATATTTTATTCAGAAATAAAAGAAGAGGAGAAGGGTCGCCCAATAGCTCAGACTATCTTGATATATGTACAAAGTAATACTTTACATTCAAAATGCAAAAGATAAAAATTATAGTTTGAATACCTTATTCTAATGCGAGACTCATTTTCAAGAAAGAACCAATCCAAATATTTTGTTAAGTGTACATATAAATTATCAGAAAATCATAGAAATCATGATTATAGTCAATAAACAGCTCTCTGATAAAAATTTCTCACATGTTTATGAAATTATCAAAGGCAGGACAGCCAGACAAAATGAGCCCAACTGTAGAGTACCAGAAACCATTTACAAAGAAAACCTTTCTTTTAGGATGTTGTAGTGGGTACCTGTTACAGTAATCTGTAGATTATCTACAATAGGATGTTTTTTTAAGAATCTGGGACCATAAAGGTCAAATCAGCAGTATCAGTGAGGTACAGAAGTCAATCAAATGAACAATAAGAAAAAGTCTATTCAGTTTGTTATTAAAGTGTTATAAGGACCTTAAAGGATTCAGTAATCAAGCCAGGCTTGGTGGCACATGGCTTTAATCTTAGCACCTGGGAAGCAGAGGCAGGCAGATCTCTGTTAGTTCAAGCCAGCCTGGTCTACATAGTGAGTTCCAGGGCAGCCAGGGCCATGTAGAAAGACCCTGTCTCAACAGAGAGAGAGAGAGAGAGAGAGAGAGAGAGAGAGAGAGAGAGAGAGAGAGAACGAGAGAGAAAGAGAGAGAGAGAGGAGAGAGGGGAGAGGAGAGAGGAGGAGAGAGGAGAGAGGGAGAGAGGGAGAGAGGAAGAGGGCAAGGGAGAGGGAGAAGAAGAAAAGAGAAAGGAAGGAATTCAGTAATCAGAGAGCAGGAACCAGCCTGGCCAAGAATGAAGTCAGAGATGGAGCAAAGACTGGATTTCTGTGAAAGACTAGATATCATAGAGGAGAAGGCAACATTTGGGGTTCAAGAAATCTGAGTTGTTTGCAGGCTACTGAAGAGAACTAGAAAAGAGACAGCTTCCATTATGGCCACAGCATGCTTGGCTACTGTCATATCACCAAAGGAATAAATGGGGAAGGTGAGGAAGAGAGATTCTTTCAGAGCCAAATGTATCAGCTACTTATCTAGTAATGTTTGACTCCAGTGATCAAAATCAATTAATTCTTCTTTAACTCATTAAGTATCTAGAGTGCTTGAAAATCCAGAACCCATGGGTATATTTAATGACCTTCTTCAATTCCTCATTCCTTCCTCAGTCTCCCCTAGATCTCTTTACAAGAGAAAACCAAAAACAGCAACACTGTTTTCAGTAAGAAAAATAAACAATGGCTCTGTGCCAAATATGATAAGCCATACTACTTCTGTTTTAATTAACACATAAACGGGATTCAACTATCAAAATTTAGTTGACATTTATAATAGCATCCCAAATGCCAAATTATCTCTTAAAAATGCTGTGCTTTGCAGTTTTGAAGATTGAATCCATTCATAAAATTGATCAGTTGTGTTCGGCCATCCAGCCTTCTCCCTAAATGTTGTGCTCAAAACCATGCTTTGCCCGCACTCTTATAGCATGTTAAGTTTTCTGGGATGTTAATGCAGACAGGAATCAGCTTTTAAAATTCCGCTGTCCTTTTTTATGGGGAAGTTGTCCTGATAACAACCACTTACTACTCTTTTTCTTTTGAGACAGAGTCTCACTGTGTAGTTCAGTCTTGTGTCTTGAACTCACATTGGTCCACCTGAGTCTGCCTCCCAGGTGCCGGGATTGCAGTTTGCACCCTGGACTTCCTTACTATGTTTTGAATGTAAACTTCTACAGTACTGGTGTGAGCCTAGGGTAAATTAGGGCTTGTTCATTCCCTCAAAGGTCATACAGGAGCCCATCAGAGAAGAGTGTCATGAAACGCTTTGTTTCTTAATGCCTGTTTCTTCTGGGGCTCAGCTTCTAAGCTAAGCATTGGCCATAGCTAATCATCAGAGGCAACATCTTCAGAGCCCCCTTCCCCCCTCCCGCCACAGTCCTTCTAAAAGGACCAAGAGAAAAGAACAAAAGAAAACAAACAATGGAGGAGAAAAGAAAAGGCTGTCGGGGCATGGCTGAGTGACACCTAAGTGACTCAGGCCAGATTAGGTACCGCCAGGCCCCTTTATCCAATAAGTTCCCAAGTGCACAGTTTACTTCTAGAAAAGCTGGAGGGTGGGGATGATTAACTGCAGTGCTAAAGGAAGAAGTGTTTGCCCGAGATTACTTACATTAATAAGGAGGAAGATAAAACATGATACAGTAATTGAGCCTGCCATCAGGTTAGGAAAGCCGCCAAGGTGAGGTCTTAAAAACACCAGCTCTTTCCTAACAAAGCAAAGAGGAAAAAGAACAATACATCCTATCTTGGTGCATAGAATTTTACTTATTTTGTAAGGCCAGACTCAGGAGGAAAATGAAAACAGAAGAAAAATTATCTTTCTAAAAGCTCTTATTAAAAAAAAATACCATGCAAGACAATCTATCATTTAAACTATTTTTTCCAGCTAATTGTGTCTCTAACGTTTCGAGGCCCTGCAGCCTCTGTTCCAAATTAACAAAGAAATGAATAAGTCACATCTGCTGGCGTACTTCTCTGGTGACCCTTCTGTCTCTCTCTTACTTGGGTGCCCTGTTGTAAGAACAGAAGGGTAAAAGTGGCACAGTGGCCCTCCCCTGTGTCTAAAGACACAGCAGGTCAGAGCCACAGTTAGAGCTCACAGCGCTGAGAGGTGCCTCAGCAGCTCAGAGCACTTGCTCTCCGGGGACCTGAGGTTTGTTCCCAACAGGTGGCTCGCAGTGTCTGGAGCTCCAGCTCTTGGAGATACAATGCCATCTTTGGGTCTCTGCAGGCAGTAGTGTATAAAAACACACACAATTTTTTTTTAAGTCACAGGCTTATAATTGTCAGGAAAAAGGACATCAGAAAGTACTACCTTGTTCACACCTCTGTTTCTCAGAATTAAATAAATTGACTGATAAAATCTAGGAAATGTTTTTCCACTTTAAAAAAATTGACTCATTTGCTAATGAAAAGCCTTTGTGTCAAACAACAACTCTCTAACATAAAGCAAACTCCTTGTACCTTGACACATCTCAGAACCCCATTGCTGGGATCATCATAATTTTGGTCTTTTCTTATAGGGAAAATCTCTTAATAAATAAGATGTAGCATACATTAAACCCTTTTGGAGTCCCTCTGGCAGCGTGCACAGGTACCAAAATCACTGAAGGAGCAATTTTCCACTTGTGGGTACACATCAGTCATGCAAGAAGGGGTGGGGGAATTAGGTCAAAGGGTCTGCCTCTTTAAATACAAAAACACTGTCACTTTGTTTTTTCATTTCTTATGTTTTTAGAGAGGTGATTAGGATGAATAGCATCCTAACTAGCTTGTAGAGGTTGGACTGTGATGGGCTATTAGCTCTCATCTCCCATACCCCCTTGCATTTCTCTGTCCCTAGGGAAAATACTGCTATGGTTTTATAGGAATGTCCCACCTGCCTCCAGATGCACAAAGGCTACTGAGTTTAAAGACCATTGTGTCTCATTAGTGCTGAGCAAAGTGTTCATCATTTCTTCACCACCTAATTCTAACTAATAATTGAATGCTTCTAAGTTTTCCCATCTTTACAACACGAGCGATTATAAAGTTCATACAGGGTAATGGAAGCCTGATGGTTACTCCTCTTTGACGGCCTGTATCAGTAGCTGAACAGGAGAGACCTTGGTTGTGTGTATGTTTGATCATAACAAATATAGATGCTTGTGAGTCTTGCACGGCATACACATGTGTAGTGTCTATGAGCCAGGGCAGCTCTCTTAAGAAAGCACCAGGTAACTATCATTTGCCCATATGTCAGAAACAGATGTCTTGTCTTTCATTTATCACTGAAAACAGATCAGATAGTTGAATACAAAGCCTACCTAGAATGGCTGTATTCAGTGGCCTCTGTATTGGCCCTTACCATGAGGCTGGGAGAAATACGTAGGCTATCACTCAGTGAGCCCTGTCTACTGTTATTAATATTCTATAGCTAAGTAGCTTAGTGTTTTTAAGATTTTGATTTTTGTCCCATGGGGATTATCCTCTGAAATCTCATCCTAATTTCTAAAACTGTCCTGTTTAAGCAAGGAGAATTTATCAAATGCCTGCTCCTAATACTACCTTTAAACCACTAAAGCCTAGAAATTGCTAAATATTTCTGAAGTCCAAAATAGCTTAATAAATATTCCTCCAGACTGATGATCATCCTGACATGCTAACAGGGTCATGAAAATCCACAATTTCTCATGACTGGCATGCTTCTCCTAAAAAAGACACAAAATAAGACATGTTCTCCTTGGAGAGTCAAAATACTTCCCATGGTTTTACTTTATCCTAGAAATGAAATAAATGCCATTCAGGAGAGTTTTCCATCTTTCTTAAAGGTCCATTTTTTGTTCTTGTGGTCCAACCTTAGATGGATATCCCTGCTCTAATTTACTTTTGAGATATTAATTAATTAATTAATTCTTCTTAGACCTGGATAGAGTTCTGCCTGTACCTTATGGAAAGACTAAAAGAGCATACCCAAAAAGACATAAATTATAACACATGCGCGCGCACACACACACACACACACACACACACACACAGAGCAGCAGCAGCTGCAGCAGCCGCCGCCAACACTGGATGCATCAAATTGTAAATGGACGGTAGCAGCCCACTAGGCAGGACTTGAATAGAACTTGCAGGTTCTGCCATCTGCTCTCTCGATCCTTTCTGAGAAAATCAGAGCAAACATCCTCAAAGTCACAGACAAGCTTCTTAAAGGTAATCCAAAAGCTCTCAGGAAAATTAAAAATGATAGAACCATCAACTTTCTTCACTCAGAATCTCATGTGTTCTCTCTACCTGTGGATGATGCTCTAGTTGCTCACTGCCATTCAGGGGACTACACACATCTAGGGTGTGCACTTCTTTGCCACCATGTATTTTCTATCCTCTGTGCTTTTCATTGACTAACAGCACTCTCATGAATCACATCCACAAATTAATTTTTCATTGATGTGTTCTGTTCCTTGGGAGGTGGGGAAGAGGCAGTATTCATTATTCAATGGGATTTCCTTTATGCCAGGTCCAGATTATAAGGAACTGGATGTCCACCTTCGAAGGATGGAGTCTGGATTTGGCTTCAGAATCCTCGGGGGAGATGAACCTGGACAGCCTGTAAGTTGAATCTACATTATTTCCACACATGACTGTTTTGTGTATAAATACCAGGGAGAGTATCATTCAGTATGGTATCAAAAAGGAAATGTGTAGACCACAAGGCAGACTGCAGTCTGTGTTCTCTCTTCTAGTTCTCTTAACAATACCTCACAAAATACAAGAATCTCCACGGCCATTATCTCCCTATAAATCTCACTGGGAGTGACAGGACTGTCTCTAAGAATGGACTGATTCCTCTTGAGTAGTTCAATTATTCAATGGTTCTGGAACATGGGATTCTTTAAGAGGCAGTCATAAAACATGACAGAACAGGCGGCTGGAAACCACAGAATCATATATGCTTACAACAAAAACAATGAGGAGTAAAAACCACAGGGGTAAATAGAAGTAAAATCAAATTCTCTGCTAAAAAACCTGAGCCAAACTGAATTAAGGCATTATGAAAAGAATATTTTCATGAAATCAGCAGCAGTTGAAAGAATTTGAGAATGGTTCTGTAGTAATTTTTATATTAATATATACACATGGCCATATGGGTATACATATTCAGAATGAAAACATAAACTAGCAATACTCATTGAGATACAGAAAACATAATGAACTTAGATTTGTGAGCTCATATTAAAATATCCTTCCTGAAACACTCATTGTACAGATGTATCCTAAATGGTGCTCAAGGAAACAAAGGCAAGTATGAATGCATCCCATCCTAGCTCATATGAGACACCAAACTGTAAGCCTCAGTTTGCTCATCTGGAAGATGAGGGCAGCCAGAATTACCATCCCACAGAATAGCTTTAAGGAGTAAAGAAGACATAAGTTAAAACTCTTGGTGCCTGGACTGTAACACATTCTAAATAAATGCCTATGACCATCAGTTTTGTCTACCATCATATTAGTAGATTGTTTCCCAAAAGAAACATAAAATGGATCAGCAGAAATTTCCAAAAGGAGAAAACACCAGTCTAACACAAGAAAGGAACCCATAATAATTAAAACTGTCCCCAAGTAGATGGCCTTTGTATAGCATGAGCTCCGTCTCTCTGGACATTCAGACCGAGAGTGACAGAATCCTGCAGACACCTCCTCTGTGCCCGTGAGAGGAGCTCCACTAGGTAATAGGAGGTGTCTTACTGCAGAAAACTGCAGGGGAAAGGTTCCCTAATTCCCGGGAATAAAATGGGTAACAATTACCCAGCGTGCCCTAAGCCTCCAGCTGCCAAGGAAGATGGAAAGACACACTGACCAAAGATTGGTCCCATTTTCCCTTAGTGATTCAGAAGGGGAAGAGGAGCCAAGAAAATGCCGCCCCAAGGAACTCCAGACTTCCTGGAGGGACTTAGTTAAGGATAGTACATTCTTTTGCTCCCCTTCACAGCAGCATCCCACCCCCAACTTGTAACCTGGTTCTGAGGTCCTCCAGCCTGATTCTGATCAGTCCTCCAGCCTCATTCCCAACAGCTCATTTCATATGCAAATGACTGTGATGTCATAGCACTCATTTACCTATGTAAATGTTGACTGCATTGATTATACCTCCAGGTGCCTGGCCTCTACAGGATGTTTGTCTGATTTGGCTTCCCTCAGAATTGCTCAGACATGCTTGTGTGTTCACACATTCAATTTGGTCAGGAAGAATTCCTATTCATCCTAAAGGATTTCATCTTCTCCTTATATTTCTTATTCCATAAATGAAAGCTATGCCATTAACCAGAGTTAGCCAAAACTGAGCTTAAAGTCGTCATCTACCCAAGTCCACCCAGGACTCCAAACATCAATTGAAATGAGTTTGCTAAACTGCAAAGAGACGAGTGTCTCCAAACTGCACTATAGACACTGCTGTAGATGTGGATGACCCTAATGTAACAGTTTCATGGTATATAAGTTGAGTTTTGTCTAAGTCCAGTGAAACACTGTGTACACACACAGGGCACATGAAGTAGGCTGATTACTTGTCAGTACTCACAGAAGCTGAAGACTCACTTTATGCTAGTCTCTGGCTCAGGAAAGCTTTCCAAGACAGCTGGAGTCTCAACTGCCCATGCCTCACAGCTGTGGGAACACCCCCCCCCCCAAGCAGCCCACTGTGGGTTTAACCAGGACTTTCTGTTTATAGGGGTAAGGGAACATAGCCCAGGCTATCCTAGCCAGCCCTCCTTATCTGAGGGTGTTTTATTCTCAGAACATTCAAGTTTTTCTTAAGAACTACAAAGAAGAAAGTAGGACAGCTGTGTCAGTCTAAAGCCACTGAAGAACTGCCCTGCACACCCACAGCCTTCCTCAGCTTTGGTAATTCACTAACACAGCAAGAACTCGAAAACGTGCCATGATTGTAGTTTTATTATAGTGAAAGAATAGGCATGAGAACCATGCAAAAGAGATATGCCGACAACCACATCAGGAAAAAAACCCAAATGCAAAGTCGCCCATATTCCACAGCCATTTTGCCAATCAGGATGTTAAGCCAAACTTTGGTGACCAGCGTTTTTAACTAAGGTTTCATACATGGACACAAGTAATTGCATCATCAACTCCATGGTCAAATTCCACCTCTAGTGCTCTCTCTTTGCCAGAAGTCAGACTGATATCACAGGCCTCAACGGCCCAGTCCTGTAGATACCAGCTTCCTAAGACTGAGTGTGGCTGGCCAACCTGAGTCATCTCATTATAAACCATGTCAGCTGTGGTCCAAGGAGTTCACCATGGACAATACAGACATTCCATTTGGAAAGTCTGGCAATTACCTCTCATGAACCAGGGACTTGGCCTGGACTGTAGCTTGAGTTTTTCTCTTAGGGTCCTGCTAAGCCCGGTCAGTCCCGTAGCCCACTTTTAAAATAAACATACAGACGCTTATATTATTTAAACTGTTCAGCCATTGGCTCAGGCCTACCATTGTCTGGCTCTTTCTCTTATACTCAGCCCATTTCTGTTAATCTATATGTCACCATGTGTTCTGTGGCTTTACCTGCTGCCTTTACATGCTGCTCCCTGGAATGCAGGCTGGCGTCTCCTCCAGACTTCCACCTCTCAGCCTCTCCTCTCTGTTTGTCCCGCCAATCCCATACTTCCTGCCTGGCTACTGGCCAATCAGCGTTTTATTTATTCACAACATATAGGACATCCCACAGCACTGGACCAAGGTAAAATTGTTTAGAACAAAACCATAGTCTTAAAAGATACCAAATAAAAGAACTCATAATAAAATACCAGTATATGTTAATTCATAACTTTCTCTGCAGTAGTGGGCACTGCAATACTGCAAAGTATGTAACAATAAACCCAGACAGAACATGCCATGCTCAGGCTGACATACCAACTTCAAGAGTTCTTTTCAGATAGATGTGTTCTCTGTTCCAGAATACACTGACTAAAATGCTTTTGCTCATCATACCAAACCATTAGCTTACTCTTTTTTTATTTTTTACAGTCACCATGGAGACTGTGAAAGATTATCACAGCTGACAATATTGCAGGACATTGAGGAAAGTTTTCAAATAGCATTAATCACACCTTGGATAAGCCTCGTTGGCTATGGTACCACCACTATATAAAGCTCCATGAGCTTCTTGAAGACAGGGACTACAATTTGATGGGGATTTTATCTTCCAACCTGATACAGAACCTGATGCAACATGTATGTGTTAAGTGGAACTGAACAGAGTACTTATCCCAATACAAAACTGAATGCTTCCGAGTGCGTACTGATCTCATAGCGAGGTCTCTAGAAAATGGGAGGGGGCCAGCCCTAGAAGCACAGCTGTAGCTCCAACAGCCCTGTGGCTTGCTCTTGCTCCCTTGGAATTTTTATACTGTTGGGTACTAGTTCATTTTTGTGTGTGTGTGATTCCCATTTTCTCTTGAAAAACAAATCTAATGACATTTCCATTATGACAACTGGCTGGAGCCAGTTAAGACCAAGCATGACCACAGTTCCTAAAATTCCTTTGATGCCTCTGTTACTCATTTCCCCAACTACCTTTGAGACTGCCATCCAAGACAGTTGGACTGAAAGAAATTAGGAGGGTGAACACCTTGGAACAAAGGAGCCTCTAGCCTGGGCAAAATCATGGTTCATACAAGCCCTAAGCAATGAAAATATTGCCATTTTAATTCAACAGAGCCTATAGGTCCTTTCTCCTATGTATAAATACACATATATTAAGTTATAAAATGAATATAAAGCAAAACAACAATGTTCCAATCCACCTCACAGTATGGATTTTGGTATCTGCTGGACCCCTAGGCACATAATTGTCTGTTTGGGAGTTTGGGAGATACACCAACACCCCAGTTAGTAAACATCACCCTCAGATATCCTCTTCTCCAGAGGTAGAGGGGCTTTGCCCAAGTCATGGGATGTGTGTAGACTTGGCTAGCTCGAAAAGGGAGATGCCCTTCTAGAGCTGTGGCTCTCCACCTGTGGTGGTCAAATAGCAGATATCCTGCATATCAGATATTTATATTATGATTATAATAGTAGCAAAATTATAGTTATGAAGTAGCAACAAAATAATTTTATGGTTGCAGTCACTACAACATGAGGAACTGTATTAAAGGGTCACAGCATTAAAAAAGTTGAGAACTACTGTTCTAGTCTTAATCCAACACAAAAGCAATAAAACTGGCTAGCACAATGGAACATATGTTGCACTAAAGCAAGAGCCAGTGAGCATGTTCACAGTCCCCACGTGGGCTCAGGACATCACCTCTGCCTGTTTTTTACACAGGTTCCCTGATCCCAGACCTTCTGAACACAGTTCTTTCATTCCTAAATCCTTCCTCCCTTCAGCACAGCAGCTAGGCATCTGTGATGCCTTATGATAAGCCTCAGATTACATGGATTTCTGGTTATCTTTATTGTTCTTACTGAGATTTATTCCTGTTTATTCCTTCATTTAAATGACTTAAAACATACTCTTACCGCAGTTTCCAATTTTTGGCACTTCAGCAATAATGTAGAAACTTAACTCATCCTAATGCAGGAAATGCTAAAA